ACAAACAGCCTCATTCCATCATGTAGGGGAGCTTCTCGAAGGTCTGGTGTGACTTTAGTTTGATATTCTATGATACCTAACAGTTACAGTCTGATGCCACCTTATTCTCCTGTCCTTTCAATAAGAAACTGACTGGATTCAAGCAAGTATCTGTTATTAAGACCAAATCATCTTTTTCTAGTAATAGGACTTCATATTTTAATGTCCAGGAATTAGTCAACCATCTCCCAGCTCTTTGATTTCATATATGCCTGACCTGATGTGGGGTGCTCCCTACCAGGGCCCAGTCGAAGGTCCGCTTCCAACCCTCCTCTGTCAGCAGGGCTGTGACAGCTACTGCTTGCACACATTCGGGCCACCTTCAAGGGACAGGATCAAGAAGCTTGGAGATAAAAACAACAGTTGCCTCTTCCCCGCCCCAGATTTGAGTGAACACCCCAAGGGCCACTCCCTGGCCTACTGTTATTAACAGATAACACATTTTCTTTAAAGATGGAAAGGCCAGGACTGGGACTGTAGCGAGAGCTTGCTTTAAATCCTCTACTGCCTTGATTTCTTCCAGGGACCATTGCAAAGGTTACTAGAAGGTTACTAGAAGTTCGTCTTCTAATAACTTAAGATACAAAATCTTTGTTTTTTTGAGCATATGAGTCAATCCATAATCTACAGTAACCAGTTAAACCTAAAAATTTTTGGAGTTCTTTCTTTGTCTTAGGCAAGGGCAGACCCACTATTCCCAATACTCTTTCTGGGTTTATTCTCCGCTTCCCTTCACTAATTAGATGTCCTAAATATTTAACTTCTTTTTCTACAAATTGGAGTTTGTTCTTGGAGAAACAAGAACAAGCCCATTTCCCCTAGGAAATCAAGCAACCCCATTTCCCCTAGGAAATCAAGCAACCCCATTTCTCCTAGGAAATCAAGCAACCCCCTTTCCCCTAGGAAATCAAGCAAGCTTGCGGTAGCTTCGGATACCTTGTCCCTCCTTTTCCCAGAAATTAGAAGAACATCCACATACTGTAATAACTGGGTTTCTCTGGAAGGTTGGAATTCCTCCAGGACTTTTTCTGAGACATGACCAAATAAGTCTGGGGCTTCCGTGAAACCTTTTGGCAGCACAGTCCAACAGTACTGCTGCTTTCTCCCAGTTACAGGGTTTTCCATTCAAAGGCAAAGAGGTCCCTACTCCTAGAGTCTAGGGGACATGCCCGGAATGCGTCTTTCAGATCCACTACACCGAACCACTTACGTTAATGGGGTATTTTACTAAGAAGGGTGTAGGGGTGAGGCATCACAGGATGGTGAGTTTGTACAATTTGATTTATAGTTCTTGGATCTTACGCTAATCTGTAGGACCCATCCGGTTTCTTTACGGGGAGAATTGGAGTGTCGTATGGTGACATGCAGAGTTCCAGTAGTTCATCTTTAATTCATTCCTCTGTTACCGCTTGGAGACCCTTTCTCCCTTCAGTGGGTATGGGATATTGTTTCCTGCAAACTCTTTCTCTTTCTCCTGGATGTTTTAGTTCAATCTGTAAGGGTGTGATTTTTAATCCTCCCCGTTGCCTTCCTTAATCCACACAAGGGGATTACTTTCTTCCTCCTCTGTTAGAAGGCCCATCATTACTTTTATTTGTCCCTTCTCTATTCCTAATCCTAAACCTAATCTGACAATCAGGTCTTGACCAAGGAGGTTAGTTCCTGCTTCAGGAACATGTAAGAACAACCACTTAATTTGTTCTGATCCCAAGCTAATTAACATTTTCTTAAATATCGGAACCTGAAATCCCTCCCTCTTTACCCCGATACTGTTAACTTCTCCTTAGAGAGTTTTGCGCCCCTTGGTTGGTACATTGGGGAGAAGCAAGCCCCTCCAGTGTCGATCAAAGATGTCATTTCTTCCCCGTACGGACCACCAGGTTGTGAGAAACAAACTCACCCATCCAAACCCAAAGAATGGACTCAGAGACCCAGAGAACAGTGGAAATGCGACTTTTAATGACGGTTTTGCAAGATTGGGTGTCTGGTGGGCAGGCACACCCAGCAGGTTACAACAAGCCATTTATCCCCTAGCGCGCAGGTCCTGCCCACCCAGTTCCTCATACGCTGAGTACTGTGGGGGGTCACAGTCTTCCTGGATGTTGCCTATTGGTTGTTGGGTAGGGGCTGCAGGGTGCAGGTCCCACCCCCGCTTCCTCATAGGCTGAGTACTGTGGGGGGGTGGTCACAGCCTTCCCGGACTTTACCTATTGGTTGTTGGGTAGGGGGTGTAGGGTGCAGGTCCCACCCCCGCTTCCTCATAGGCTGAGTACTGTGGGGGGGGGTCACAGTCTTCCCGGACTTCACCTATTGGTTGTTGGGTAGGGGGTGTAGAGTGCAGGTCCCTCCCCTGGTTCCTCATAGGCTGAGTACTGTGGTGGGGGGGGGTCACAGCCTTCCTGGACTTCACCTATTGGTTGTTGGGTAGGGGCTGCAGGGTGCAGGTCCCACCCCCGCTTCCTCATAGGCTGAGTACTGTGGGGGTGACAGTCTTCCTGGATGTTGCATATTGGTTGTTGGGTAGGAGGTGTAGGGTGCAGGTTCCTCTCCTGGTTCCTCATAGGCTGAGTACTGTGGGGGGCGGGTCACAGCCTTCCCAGACTTCACCTATTGGTTGTTGGGTAGGGGCTGCAGGGTGAAGGTCCCGCCCCCGCTTCCTCATAGGGTGAGTACTGTGGGGGTCACAGTCTTCCTGGATATTGTCTATTGGTTGTTGGGTAGGGGCTGTAGGGTGCAGGTTCCTCCCCCGCTTCCTCATAGGGTGAGTACTGTGGGGGGGTCACAGTCTTCCCGGACTTCACCTATTGGTTGTTGGGTAGGGGCTGCAGGGTGCAGGTCCCGCCTCCGGTTCCTCATAGGCTGAGTACTGTGGGGGGGGTCACAGCCTTCCTGGATGTTGCCTATTGGTTGTTGGGTAGGGGCTGTAGGGTGCAGGTTTCTCCCCTGGTTCCTCATAGGCTGAGTACTGTGGAGGGGGGGTCACAGCCTTCCTGGATGTTGCCTATTGGTTGTTGGGTAGGGGGTGTAGGGTGCAGGTCCCGCCTCCGGTTCCTCATAGGCTGAGTACTGTGGGGGTCACAGTCTTCCTGGACGTCGCCTATTGGTTGTTGGGCAGGGGCTGTAGGTGTTTTCTTTGGGGTTGTCCTGCTGCATTTTGTTGCGGCCCACAATGCATTGCAATCCCAGTCAGCTCAGGGGCTCTTCCAGTATTTGACTTATGACCTAAGTAGCTGGGCAGGCTGATAAGAACAGACAAAACGAGATATTTTTAGGCCAGTAAACTTTCATCTTAGACTAAACCTCTTTGGTTCGGGTGAGGGCCACTAAGGGGTGGGGGGTGCCGAGAAGCAGGCGTTGGCTATCCAAGCAGGGGCCTAGTACATCCTGTTTCTTCTGTAGTTTGCTGACCTAAGCCGATTCAAGGCACTTTGTCTTGGAAATGGACCACTGTATACATTATTTCCTTCAACCATAACCAGCTCCAAGTCGCAGGTGGTGCCTGCATTTCCAGAGGTGCTGGGGAGGAAGAAGAGTGTTAGCTTTCTGAGGGTCCTTTTACTGGTATTGAGGACAACGTGGTTTCAAAGCTGAGCACTGGAATCAGCTTGCCCTGGGAGGGAAAGGACAGGACCAAAAAGCGTAAAGCCACTCCTGCAGAGGCCCGAGAAAAGCAGCACGCGGAGGCATGCGCATGCCTGTGTGTGGGGGTTGCATGCCCGTGTACGTGGCGGTACACCCGGTGATCTGTGATTGCCAGGCTGCTTTCTGGAGACCGAGCCAGCTGCCAGCAAGCAGTGACTCCAGCAATTTCCTCACAGGGATAAGACACTGTTTCCAATGCCTTTATGAGAAGTGTGATTTTTCCAGTCAGTGTTTCTTCAGTTGGAATCTGTCAATGATTTGGATCAGGGACACGGTGTTGAAGGTGGAATGGGGAGGCACAGTGGCGCTCTGTGCAATATGCAGTGTGTGTTTCATAGAGAAGGCAATGTAATCACAGCAGCCAATCCACGCACTGCTCTTTAGTGCTGCCCACATTGCCCCGTCTCACAGATGAGGACACTGGAGCCCAGAGAGGTTCGGGAACTTGCTCAAGGTCACACAGCCAATAGATTTTGAAACGTAGATGTGAATCCAGGCAGTCTGGCTTCGAGATCATTGTTCTGAACAATGATCTGTTTCTACTCCCTCAGTCAATACGAATATAGATATAAATATGTATAATAATGTGAGTATAAACAACATAGCAGCACTAATGATGGTATTGTAAAAATTAGCTATTATCCTCCCACACTGTGACTGTAAAATTATATATATGTTATATGCATTTTACACAGCTAAAATCAATGTGTATACATTTCATCTTCCACCTTCCCTTATTTATAATGACTTTAAAGCATCACTGAGTTGATGTGTCTATCTGCTTCTGAAGTGACACTTGCCGAGGTTATTTTTGTGTGCTGCTGATCGTAGACAACACCACAGCAGACGCCTCTGTCCCTGTCTTTTAGTTTCCTGTTAATGACTGAGTTGGGCTGAGTCCCCCAGACCAGACATGGTTCTGGCTATTTGCTCAGTAAACAGGCGGTTTCGGGGGCTGCCAAGGGCCAGGTGCTGCGGCAGGCACTGGAGAAAGGGCCGAGACACTGAGTGTGGAGCCCCAGGATTCAGATCATGTCACAGGCTTTGGGATAGAAACAGTGATGTGCTTGGTCAGCAACAGAGTGCCGGCTCTTCAGGAAGCCAGTCCCCGCTCGGAAGGCCGCTGGAAGGAGCCCTGGTTCTTTTCTTTCTGATTCTCGTGTTTACTGTTTACATCTTTTGAGGGTAAGAGATTGGGTTTTTGTTTTTTGACGTAGTATACGTGGTTAGTAGTTCTTTTGGAAATGGATTTTGGGTATATCATGTTTTAAAAATTAGTTGGTTGACAAAACATTCTCTGATTCTCTTTTGCACGGAAGCAATTGCATCTGCAAAGGAACTCCCTGTGTGTGATTCCTCAAGATTTCTTTCAGTTGCTGCCGAACCTGACTTGGCTGGACCTCCGGTACAACAAAATTAAGGTGCTTCCTTCCGGGATCGGAGCCCACAGGTAAGTTGTTTATGCTTCCAGATTTTAAAATCATCCTTGTCCTTTACTCTTGATTGAATTTTTATTTCGGAATAGACACATTTAATAGTATTTTTAAATCCAGCTAAGAGGTGCGACAGTTGAATGTACCTGACATGCAGAACTCTAACTTGGGATATTTGGTGCCACAACAAATGCTGGTAGCCACAGTGTCTTTTTGCTGGGTGGCCGGTGTGATTTTCATCACAGCTGATTCCAGCTCTGACTCTCCTTGTATGAAGCTGCCTGAAAATCAGAAATACCTCTGACGAGTTAAACCAGCAACTTTGGCCAGGCGCGGTGGCTCACACGTGTAATCCCAGCACTTTGGGAGACTGAGGTGGGCAGATCACCTGAGGTCAGGAGATCAAGACCATCCTGGCCAACATGGCAAACCCTGTCTCTACTAAAAATATAGAAAAATTAGCCGGGCGTGGTGGCGGGCGCTTATAGTCCCAGCTACTCGGGAGGCTGAGGCAGGAGAATGGCGTGAACCCAGGAGGCAGAGCTTGCAGTGAGCGGAGATCGCGCCACCGCACTCCAGCCTGGATGACAGAGCGATACTCCATCTCAAAAAAAAAAAAAAAATATATATATATATATATAAAAATTAGCCAGGCATGGTGGTGGGTGCCTGTAATCCCAGCTCCTTGGGAGGTTGAGGGAAGAGAATTGCTTGAACCCAGGAGGCGGAGGTTGCAGTGAGCTGAGATCACACCACTGCACTCCAGTCTGGGCGACAGAGTAAGAGTCCGTCTCAAAAAAAATAAATAAATAAACCAGCTCCTTTGCTCCTGAGGGCTCTTGTGTAACCCACATTGGTTCTTGGCATATAATGAGAAATTCTTCTCACTTAGGAAAACTGGCAGCACCCAGCCAAGCCCCGGGTGTCCTGCCCATCCCCACCACTTCCCTTCCCAGGGTTTTCTTGCATTCCCACTTGTGGACTTGTGGGGTGTAATCCTGCCCATGGTGGAAATGCCACACCTCCTTTCCCCTCCTCAGCCTGGCCCTTCCCCATCAGCCAGGAATCTCCTCTCACCGTGGAGACGTCCTTCTTTCCTGAGCCTTCTGCTTCTGTGTCCACATCCCTGGCACCGTGGCTTTTTCTCCTTCTGAAGCCATGATCGCCTTACCTCTTATTCTTTTCTTTTCTTTTTTTCTTTTTTTTTTTTTTTAGATGGAGTCTCGCTCTCTCCCCCAGGCTGGAGTGCAGTGGCGTGATCTCAGCTCACTACAACCTCTGCCTCCTGGGTTCAGGCAATTCGGAACTGGAATTACAGGTGCGCGCCACCGTGCCCTGCTAAATTTTGTATTTTTAGTAGAAACAGGGTGTTGGGGTCCGTGCCGGGGGTGGTGGAGAATGAAAGAACACACAAAAGACAAAGACACACAGAGAACATGGCGGCCACACTCAGAGCCTCCGCCTCACTTTATTTATACTCCATAAACCCCACGTCAGCAGAAAGAATGCAATGCAAAACAAACTTTCTTTTCCCAGATGTAACCTTCTACTCAGTTCCTTGTTTCTATGCTCTTCCTTATCTGCCCGCCTTCTTGGCGCCTACGGGAGTTCATTAAAAGTTCAATTGGAGATACTGTCCTTGAGCCCTATCTATTCTCAGCATACTGTTTTCAAAGGCCCCTGCAACAGGGTTTTGCCATGTTGGCCAGGTTGGTCTCAAACTCCTGACCTCAAGTGATCTGCCTGCCTCGGCCTCCCAAAGTGCTGGGATGACAGGTGTGAGCCCCCACACCCAGCTGCCCGAACCTCTTTTGACCAGTGCTTCAGCCCTTCCTCTGATATGAGTGTGTCTGGGCACAGCCCTGAGGTGGGCATGTGCCTGGCAGGTGCAGGCTGGCAGGGAGGCCTATTTGGTGGGGGAAGTCTCTAAAGAGGGGCAGTGGGGCTCAGAGGCCAGGGTCTCTTTGTGAATTTTATTTTAGAAAGGAAGTCACAGAAGGGTTTGAGTAGAGAGGGTGGCATCAGACTTGGCTTATAGTCACTCTGTGAAGAGGGGGGCTCCAGGGCAAGGGTGGGGCAGGTCACCAGCTGGGGCCACGGCAGCAGCCCATGCAGGAGGGGCAGCCTGGGCATGGCTGGCCATGGCAGGGCTTTGGTGGGACTTCAGAGCTGGTGGGATGCGGGTGGGTGTGGGGCCACAAGAAGGAAAGGGGTGTCCAGGGCACCCCCAGTTCCTACATGAGGAATTGTGTCTCCCAAGAGCCATGGTGGCCTCTGTGGGACAGTAGAATAGAGGCTTGTAGGAGGCCCTTCACACCGGTTTTAAAAATGTTTTATAAGAAGTCAGTATATTTTGCCACACGTAATAGAAGAGAACCATGCATCATTCACCCTTCAGGCTCTGCGAGGAAGTTACTTACCTAATGACAAGTGGTGTCTCGAGCAGGTGGAAACACACCCGGTGCATCTGCATGGGGCTACTGGGGACTCCAGGGTCTGCAGGGCGAATCAGATGGACCTCGAGGAGAAGAATGTCCCGGGACTCAGCCGATGCATCTGCTGAGCCCGGCCAGCTGCTCGTGTTATATGAGCTGCATGGGAGCTAGGTACTCTCTGGGCAGTTGTCCACCCTGTCCTCACGGCCTGGGGAGGTTTCCGAGCCTGTGGCTGAGAGTGCTTTGGGAAGGATTTCTTCTTCACGTGATCATCATCTTCTGGGTTTAGAATCACTGGGTGCTATTTTGTCCACAAATCATTTTAGCCTTACACAGTTCTGGAGAGTAAGTGCTACTCAGAGGATGTAAGTGCACTAAGACCTGTTCCCATAACTACTCGTCTTTTCCCTAACATAAGTATACAGTCCTCAAAATTTGAAAATTCTTTGATTTTGCCAAAGCTGGCTACCTAATGTTTTTGAAGATACACTTTTATTTGTGATTTGTAACCCATGATAACATTCCAATTAGATCAGCTACAGAGCTGAGACATATTACTCAGAAATGCAAAGTGATTATGGGCTTATTAAAGCCTTAAACCTCTCGAAACATAATTAAAACAGTGACGGTGTTAGCGTGCCCCCTTCTCAGCATCTTGGATGTGTGAGCTTGCTAGCAGAGAGAAGATGTGGGAAGCGTGGATCAGTTCATTTACCTCCTTAGGCAAACAAGTCCAACTCAGCATTTACTTTTATATATTCATTTTAAAATCAATGAAACAAAAGAATCAGTGGGTACGCTTTGAATTATTGATAGTATTTAAGGAATTAACATTTATAAATTTGTCATTTAAAGTGTTTTCAGAATATTTTAATAATATTATTACATAAGGTAGAAAAACCCGTGCTGTACTTTCAGGTTAATAGTAAACATGCACCCCCTGCAATCCCTGTCAGGCAAAACCCAACCCAGCCCCACCCAGCAGCACCTGAGTGGCCAGAACCTTTCTGCCTTGACGAAGCCCTAGTGCTGGAGAAGCCGAGGGCATGGCGCTGCCCTTGCTGCCCTCCTCAGAATCTGGAGGCCTCTGTTCACCTTCCAGAGAGCAGATGCTGTTCTTGTTGGCTGGTTTTATACAAGCAAAATTCAGAGGGAGTAAACCAAAAACAATGAACTGAAAGAACCACATTGAAATAATCCACTTTTGTGCACTTCAAGAAAAGTTTACTTCATAAAGTTTATTCCTTAAAAACTTTAAGTAACAGCCGGGCACGGTGACTCACGCCTATAATCTCAGCACTTTGGGAGGCCGAGGTGGGCAGATCACAAGGTCAGGAGTTCAAGACCAGCCTGGCCAGCATGGTGAAACTCTATCTCTACTAAAAAAAAAAGTATAAAAAAATTAGCCGGGCATGGAGGCATGTGCCTGTAGTCCCAGCTATTCGGGAGGCTGAGGCAGGAGAATTGCTTGAACCCGGCAGGCAGAGGTTTCAGTGAGCCAAGAGCACGCCACTCCACTCCAGCCTGGGCCACAGAGAGAGACTCCATCTCAAAAAAAAAAAAAAAAAAAAATTCAAATAACCAGGAAAATCCAAGAAAGTAAGTAGAAAGAAAATTGTCTAAACCTTAAATAATCTGATTTTCCTGTAGGGTAATAAAAAAATTAAACATAATTTAAATGAGGGTTGGGCATGGAGGCTTATACCTATAATCCCAGCACTTTGAGAGGCTTAGGCGGGAGGATCACTTGAGTCCAGGAGTTCAAAACTGGCTTGAGCAACATAGGAATACCCTGTGTTTACAAAAAATACCAACATTAGCCAGACATGGTGGCACACACCATTAGTCTCAGCTCAGCCAGACGTGGTGGCACACACCATTAGTCTCAGCTCAGCCAGGTGTGGTGGCACACACCATTAGTCTCAGCTCAGCCAGGCGTGGTGGCACACACCTATTAGTCTCAGCTCAGCCAGGTGTGGTGGCACACACCATTAGTCTCAGCTCAGGCAGGCATGGTGGCACACACCTATTAGTCTCAGCCAGGTGTGGTGGCACACACCATTAGTCTCAGCTCAGCCAGGCGTGGTGGCACACACCTATTAGTCTCAGCTACCTGCGGGGGGCTGAGGCAGGAGGATTGCTTGAGCCCAGGAGGCAGAGGTTGCAGTGAGCAGAGGTTGCAGTGAGCCGAGATTATGTCACTGCACTCCATCCTGGGCAATAGAGTGGAGACCTTGTCTCAAAAAATAATCATAATTAACTGTGAAAACCAAGAAGCATAGTACAGTAAAAGGTACGAGATAGAGTTTAATAGAATATATGGATTTTTCTATCATTCAACTAGTAAATGTTTACATTCTTTCCTGTCTAAACAGACAGGCATCCATGAGATATTTTGGGCTGCATTTTGTAAGGATGTTACTAGGTGTTAAATGAAAGTGGGTGCCTTCCCGAAATGCTGCCTCAGCTGAGTTTCTTATGTAGAGGCTTCTCAGAGTCCCCAGTGTACGAATCATTCATCTCCAAGCAGGGCAGGATATACTGTGCAGCGGAAGTCTCTCAAGCAATTTTGGCCATAGAAAACTTTTTTCACAGAGCATCATAAAACACTGGGATTCCTCACAGCACATCTTAGGAAAGACTGGTTTACAGTGAGGTTGTAACTGGAAGGTATGAAAGCCTAAAATAGAGGTTCTGAACTGGGGGAGGTTTTGCCTCCAAGGAGACTGTCGGTAATGTCTGGAGACATTTGTGGTTGCCACACCTGGAGGCGGGTGGTACCTCTGGCATCTATTGGAGAAAGGCTGGAGGTGTACAATACCCTGCAAAGCAGGGACACCGCCACCCCTACAGACTGCCTGGTCCCGCGTGTCGGTGGAGCAGGGCTAGACCTGTGTTTATGTTTATGTTTATGTTTGGCAGCAGACCATTTGTGTGTCCATGTTGTAAATTTAAGTGTATCTGTATTGAAGTTGCCCCTGAAAGAGAAGAAAAACGAAGAAACTTGATGGTATATTTTGGAGATAGTCATTTAATTCTCTGCTTTTTAAATTTTTTTGTTTTGTTTTGCTTTAAAGGCATTTGAAAACTCTGCTTTTAGAAAAAAATCCTATCAAAATGTTACCTGTGGAGCTGGGTAAGTAATAAAACAATAGAAAGATGATTTTAAAATGCTATCTTTTGAACTTACCAGACCTTGTAATGGAAGTATCAGGCATGACAAAGGAGGGTAAGCTAGATATTTTTGAAATCCTTCCTACTTCTAGGACTAAGAAAACGTAGCTCTCAAGAGCTGTTGATATAGCACGTACTGTTCGTATGGAGGTGTGACATGTGAGCCTTGTGTGAGGCACAGTCACACAGGTAAAGAAACCGAAGGCCCGGCACACACCTCTGCAGGCCCCGCGTGCTGTCTCCGCTGCATCTCGCTGGCCTTCCTGCGAAGTTTGACCCCTTACGTATGTTCCTAGGCCTCATCACGAGCACTTGTTTAGACCTCAGAAGCTAAACACTCAAAACCAAAGGCATACGCTAACAGACAAATCAAACAAGCATAAACTATCACAGAAGCAAGTTTTATGACTTTAAAATAACTAGCAGAAACAGTATACATTTGTCTGACTAGTAGCCCAGGAAAAATGTCTAAAATTCTGAAGGCATTTCTATTATGAACTTGAAAAGCATTTTGGAGGCCGGGCACGGTGGCTCAAGCCTGTAATCCCAGCACTTTGGGAGGCCGAGATGGGTGGATCACGAGGTCAGGAGATCGAGACCATCCTGGCTAACCTGGTGAAACCCCGTCTCTACTAAAAAATACAAAAAACTAGCCGGGAGTGGTGGCGGGCGCATGCAGTCCCAGCTACTCGGGAGGCTGAGGCAGGAGAATGGTGTAAACCCGGGAGGTGGAGCTTGCAGTGAGCTGAGATCCGGCCACTGCACTCCAGACTGGGTGACAGAGCCAGACTCCGTCTCAAAAAACAAAACAAAACAGAAAAGCATTTTGGAGAACTAATTTATGAGTACTCGTTTATTGATAAGTCAGTTGCTACCATGTGGACAGTATAAAAACAGACACATATACACATGGTTACGTAAAAGTAAAAACATTAAGATTTTATAGCTTTGATTTTATTATTAGCCATGAATCGGGTAAAACTCACCAGTTTAAAAGAACAGTTGAGGCTGGGCGCGGTGGCTCAAGCCTGTAATCCCAGCACTTTGGGAGGCCGAGACGGGTGGATCACGAGGTCAGGAGATCGAGACTATCCTGGCTAACACGGTGAAACCCCGTCTCTACTAAAAAATACAAAAAACTAGCCGGGCAAGGTGGCGGGCGCCTGTAGTCCCGGCTACTCAGGAGGCTGAGGCAGGAGAATGGCGTAAACCAGGGAGGCGGAGCTTGCAGTGAGCTGAGATCTGGCCACTGCACTCCAGCCTGGGCGACAGAGCAAGACTCTGTCTCAAAAAAAAAAAAGAAAGAAAGAACAGTTGAGACCATGCATAGTGGCTCATGCCTGTAATCTCAGCACCTTGAGGCGCCAAGGCGGGAGGATCCTCTGAAGCCAGGAGTTTGAAACCAGCCTGGGTAACACAGTGAGACCCCATCTCTACAAAAAGTAAAATAAAATAAAATTAGCCAGGTGCAGTAGTGTGTGCCTGTGTTCGTAGGTACTTAGGAGGCTGAGGGGGGAGGCTAACTTGAGCCCAGGACTTCAAGGCTGCAGTGAGCTCTGATTGCACCACTGTACTCCAACCTGGATGACAGGGTGAGACCCTCTCCCTAAAAAAACAAACAAACAAAAAAACCACAAAAGAACAGTTGGGTTAAATTGTACCTTTGTAAATGGAACAAGTTATGGCTGGAACCCTTACACAGGTTTAGAGAAAACAGAATCACAAATTTATACCTCAAAGAACAGAGAGAATTTAAGCTTTTTAAAGAAGGAGTTTGGGTGTGTTTGAAGACTAAAAATGGATGACAAGATAATACAAAGTCACTTGCCACAGGATTTGATAAGGAAACTAATTTCATTTAGATAGGCAGCTTCTAGTTTAGTCTCTGTTTTCCAACTGGACCATGGAGCTCAGGGCAGAGCCCATTAACGGACAGGGCCAATAAAGCGTCTGCAGTTTTTAGATCCTAATACTTACCCTATGTGAAAAGCAAGCTCAACTGAAAGGCAGAACAAATACCCCAAATCTAAGCATCCGTCTTTCACACTGAACCCTGGCTCCCCCAAACTGGGAAACTCCACAGGACTAGGGCCCCTGCAGTGCTTCCCCAGTGCTCCTCATTCCAAGGACTTCACCCCGAGCCTGGGGAGTGACCCAGCCCCCATCAGCCCACTGCCCACCATGGGAGCCTTATCTCTCAGTGGCCATCATTTCCACAGCCTCCAAGTGTTCAAATAATTTCCATTTTTAGTGACATTTCACATTTGTGGAGCCCTTGTATTTTGTTTTCTTCTAATTAAACACGATTTTCTTCATTCGCTTGAACATATTTAAATGGCTACTTTGAAGTCTTTGTTAAACCCAACATCTGGGCCTCCTCGAAGACAGTTTCCATTGTCTGCTCTTTTCCTGCGTGTAGGGTACCTTTTCCTTTTCTTTGCATGTCTTGTAGTTTATGTTGAAAATGGGCATTTTAGATAATATAGCAACTTCGTATTCTGAATTTTACAGAATTGTGATGGTGGTTGTGGCTGCTTCTGTTTGTTTGATTTTATTTATTTGTTTTTTGGTAACTATCCTGGTCTTAATTTGTAGAATCTGTCTCCTGCAGAGTTACCTTTAAAGCAGATCTTAGACTCTGTTAACATCATTGTACCCCAAATACTGAGTAGAATCATATTTTAAAATGTGAAAAGTTACTATTATTTGTTCCTCATTTTCATTTCAAGAATGGTATATAAAATGCTGGCAGTTTTTTTTTCTCCACTGCAGGGAGTGTAACCACACTGAAAGCACTGAACTTAAGACACTGCCCTCTGGAATTCCCTCCGCAGCTCATTGTGCAGAAGGGATTGGTGGCTATCCAGCACTTCCTGCGGATGTGGGCAGTAGAACACTCTCTCCCCAGAAACCCAGCTTCTCAAGGTTCGTAGGAGGTGATTTACGACAAATCACATTAACGTTGAAGTTACAGCTTTTTAAAATCAGGTTAGAACCTGTCTTCTCTTCAGTAACATCCCGAGACGTACAGGAGCCATGCGTCCTCTGCTGAGTTGACACAGTGTACACTGATCTCAGGCCAACCCAGTCATCTCTGTGTCTTTTCCTTGGTTCTGTAAATCTGGGCACATTATGGATCCTGTCTTGAGTGGATTTTGGTAGAATTTTATTGTGATCGATCAAATGAAACAGTTATCACCTCCAAGCCACCCACAGGCAGCTGCTTCAGGAATGACTCGATGCTCCATTAGACACTCGACTCTCCATTAGACAGTGATTTTAAAATAAGCACAATGGAATAGTCCTCCTTCCTAGCGAGGTACAAGGAAATTGGCAGGAAAATGGCCCTGTAGACACGTTTTATCTAATCACCTCGTCGGTGGGTGCTCACTAACCTGTTCCATTCTTTCAACATACTGACCAGCCAGGTATTTTCAGATGCTCATGATGTGTTCTGGTCTTGAGTATGCATTGTAGTTACACTTGGAAAAAGCAAAGTTAAATGGTGATAAAGGAGAATCATAATGAAGGCTCGCCAAAAAAGTTCATATTCTGAAATATTTTCAGAGTATTTAAAATTTTACTATTTGTGATGTACTTTGATACTTAAGAAAAATGCATATGTTTGGAACAATTAGCCGAGATAATTATATATATGTTGTAATTGAATTGTGTAAATAATTAGGTCTTTGTAAATAACTGACCTTGCACTTTTGACCCAGATGGCCTCTATTTGGAAATTATTTTAAATGATTAAGAATCAGCAGTTGGCCCTGTGCTTGCTGAGTTGTTTGTAAACATATTTTAACCAGGTTGTAGTGTCCTCCGTTGGTGCATCGCACTGAAGCCGCCTGGCTCTGGCACCCTTGACCCTGACGCTGCCAAGATGTTGTGATAAGAATAGAAAAAGAAAATTAGCCGCTGGACTGGAAGTGTGGAGGGCACTGGGCACCTGGCAGGAGTGGTGACAAGTAGCTGAGGGCATGGGGTGGCAGAGGAGAGGTAGGACCAGGACCTGGAGACAGCCGGGACAAGGATGGAGGGGCAGAACCGTCAGGCACAGCCGGAGCCAGGACGTAGGTGGCTCAGGGGACACAGGCTCCGCTGGAGGATCAGGATAAAAAAGAGAAGTTGAAGGTTCATTCTGATTGAAGGAGACTAAAGGAATAGGAAACTGGATGTGATGCTTCATCCTAAATTGGATCCTGGGCCAGGACAAATATGATACAGGACATTACTGGAACAGTATGAAGGCGTGAGGAAGGCCAGCCAGTGAATGACAGAAGTCAGCGATGGGACGCTTCTGGTTGGTGAATCGCTATGGTGATGTGTGAGTGTCTCCATCTGAGGGTGGAAGGGCAGGATGTCTGAAGTTACGCTTGAGTGTTTGAGGACATGCAGGAGCACCCCCAGACAGAGAGGCAGGGGCGGGCAGGCTCGCGGGGGCAGACAGCCTCGGGGGCCAGGCAGCAGCGGCTGCTGAGGGAGTGCAGGGCCCACCAACTTAGCAGAGTTCTTGCAACTTTTCTGTAAGTTTGAAAAAAATACATTAAGTGACTGGTCAAAAATAAATATTTTCTAACTCTTCTCTATTAGTTTTTAGGGCCACCTGGAGTGATTTTTCAGCTACTATGTACATGTTTAGCACTTTGCCCTTTCAATTACTTTAAAACCTCTTTTTGCTGGCCGGGCGCAGTGGCTCACACCTGTAATCCCAGCACTTTGGGAGGCTGAGGTGGGCGGATCATGAGGTCAGGAGATCGAGACCATCCTGGCTAACACGGTGAAACCCCATCTCTACTAAAATACAAAAAATTAGCCGGGCGTGGTGGCGGGCGCCTGTAGTCCCAGCTACTCAGGAGACTGAGGCAGGAGAATGGCGTGAACCTGTGAGGCGGAGCTTGCAGTGGGCCAAGATGGTGCCACTGCACTCCAGCCTGGGTGACAGAGCGAGATTCCATCTTTAAAAAAAAAAAAAAGAAAAAAAAAGTCTTTTTGCTGGTATCCCATTTTTCCTGTCTGCTTACATTTTCATGAATTTCAGATTTGTCTCTGGCCCCAACCACAGGCAGATTGTTCAAATATGCATGTTTCTAGTCACTTGTGCCCCAGGGGAAATTTTACAGCTTCTTAGGACGTTTTGAAGCATGTTTGCCCATTTTTTAAAACTTTTCCTTTCAAACTTAAGACCCTGAGCATGCAGCAGTCAGGAGTGTCTGGCAGCCAGGGGCGTGATGTCCATGCACCTGTGTCCACTGCCATGGCCACCTGGGGTCTCACTCAGCCTTCAGGTCGTGATGGGCACGTGCTGGGAGAAGACTGGCCACTAGGTCCCAGTGGCTCCCGAAGTGCCTGGAGCACCTCCCTGAAGTCATGTTTTGAGAAAGTCAACAAAAGCATCACCAAACAAGAAAAGCAGGCATAATGGGCTAAACATTACTTAGAAATAAAGATTCTAAGTGATCTGAGGGGAAGCAGAAATGTTGATTAAATGTGGTGAGATTACCCTGTGTACACATACAAAAAGTCCCTACAAAGTGGTAAGGCCTATGTGGGAAGGTCACGCGTGTCTGGCAGGGCCTGCGTGGGAGAGTCGGGTGCGCCCGGCGGGCCTGCGTGGGAGGGTCAGGGGCGCCCGGCGGGGCCTGCGTGGGAGGGTCCCAGCGTGCTTCTGGCAGTGTTGTTTCCATTCCCTCCGCGTGTAACTGCTTTGCGTGCCGCAGCGTAGAAGCCTAGCATGGTGCAGGTGGGGTGACAGGAATTGTTTGGATTGACAGGGAATATGGTGGCCATGGAGGATCTGGGCACCCAACCCCCCACCACCCAGGTGCTCTTCACAGAGGCTCCATCACTGGCTTTGAGTGAGTCATAGAGGAATGGCGTTGATGGTAGCTGCTAAAGCGATTTCTTCCTCTACCAGAGGCTCCACCGGTTAAAGAGATGACCCTCCATGACCTCCCGAGCCCAGGATTGGAGTTGTCCGGAGATCACGCATCTAACGAAGGAGCTGTGAACGCTCAGGGCCCAGAGAGGGCTGTGATGAAAGAGAAGGCCGGCTTTCTCCCGCCTGTGGAAAAGCCAGACCTGAGTGAGCTCAGGAAGTCTGCTGACTCCTCAGAGCAGTGGCCCAGCGAGGAGGAGATCAGGCGCTTTTGGAAGCTGAGGCAGGAGATTGTTGAGCACGTGAAGGCAGACACTCTGGGAAATCAGCTCTTACCGAGGGAATTACCTCCAAATCTCAAGGCGGCCTTGAACAGCGAGAAAGAACTGCCAAAGCCAAGACACGTTTTCAGGTAAAACTTAAAAGCAACAGGGATTTTCTTGATCTTTGCAAATTCATACAATTATTTTAAATTATCTTTTAAAACATCAGGTCCAGCTTTTAAAGTGTCCCTCCACATTGCCGCTGTTTACTGTGCGGCAAATGCCGGTCCCGGGTTTAGGATAATGGGGACCTGCATCAAGCCCAGCGCGTCTGCGTCAGAGCCCAGTCCATTCAGAAGCTGAGTTTGCCAAGGTTGAGGATGCGCCCAGGGAAAAGAAACACAAGTGACAGTAAGATCTATGGCCTGTGCTTTCTCCAGAGAGAGCTTTGAGGACGTCAGCGTTTAAAGGAGAAACAATGGGCAGCAGGGGAAGGAGGATAGAAAAGTAAAAGTGGGGGCAGGTGGTGAGCCAAGTGGTCACATTCCTGTGGGGCTTCGATCAGCGCTCACTGAATCCACATTTTACCTGTGAAAAGAGAGGAGTTGGGGGAAAGGTCAGTTATGCAGAAAATAAATGGCAGCTGCCTGGGGACAAAAGGAAGGCAGTCATTGTGCGGCCGCTTCCCAAGCTTACCTTTCCCTTTGGCACAGTGAGTTTGGGGCCGAGATTTTATTTTCCTTTCACACCCAGGGCGAGGGTCCCTGGAAAACAGGCTCTGCAGAGGCTACATGAGAGAAACACTGAGTCATGGGTGCGGCAGGGCGTGCGCCTACACATATAGGAGGTGTGTATCTGTGGTGTGCGTGTGTGTGCCTGTGTGTGTATAAATATCTAGAGAGAGAATGCTGTAAAATAACAGTTGGTGAATCTAGATCATGCATTCTCGAGAGGCACATTGTCATAGCCAAGGGGACAACAATGGCTTAAGGGGGGTGCAGATTCTGGGAGGCCGTGGTGGTCTGTGGGCCCTCAGGCTCCACGCAGCAGCCAGCATGGGCAGGTGCACGATGGCACCAGACCTTCCGGGAGGCGTCGGCATGGAGCGCTCGCGGCCCTGATCTTTCAGCTGTCCTGTAGGTTTGAACATTCAAAACAGAACAAAACCAACCTTGGAAGCATTACTAACAAATTAAAGTGTAGGATGTCCTGGCAGCACGCACGGCAGGTTCCCAGCTTCAGTGAGGCCTCGGAGGCTCCAACACACTCGTGATGTTCTCAGTCCACACAGTTGCGCGGTGAAAGGGCAGGGATACGCTGGGCCTGCTGCTTAGAATCCTCTTTTCTCCCCTCCTCCCTTCATTTATTTATTTGTTGTTAGGAACTCTAATAATAGTTAATCCAAGTGAATTGTGGTATGCTTATTAGTAGTACTTACAATTTGATCGATACGTCAGATTTGGATACTAGACCCTAGCCTTCGGAGATTGCTTTGGGTGGCTTGGGAGCTGGAGCAGAGAACTGGAGCCTCTGGCAGGAAGCCTCAACCTGGAGCCCGTGCCCCATGGTTGGGGGGCCCTGAATGTTGTCTTCCCCCTCTGCTGCCTCTGCCCAGAGTGAGCCATAGAGAGCTGCTCTGCCTCAGCTTTCCCACGGGGGTGGTTGTGATGTCACATGCATTATCGGGGGCCTCAGTTTCCCCACTTGGTCGGGTTGTCATGGGGTCATAAGTATTAAGGAGAAGCTCTGAGATTATGGCCCTGGTCCACGCTCGGAATGGTGGCCCTTCCTGAGGGTCTGGGACTCGGGAAGCTGGCGCTGTTCTGTGTTCTCTGGCTGGGGAGCAGTGGGCATGGTGGGAGCAGCAGGCCCAGTCCAAGGTGACTGGCGTGGCCTGGGCCTGTTTATGAGGCTGAGTGCTCGTGTCCAAAATACTTACAAGAAAAGTAATGTTATGTAAAAATCGTAGGTAAATAATGGTCTGGTCCTGAAATCCCACAATTATAATGGGAGGGAATAAAAGCATTCTGAAGTCATCAGACATGGAGCTGGAGTATGACGGAGCATCACTGCCCCAGCCTAATTCTGACATCCAGCAGGCCTTCCTCTGGGGCAGCTCCTCCACACTCCTCCGGACCCTGAGACCACAAGGGGAAACCTGGTGTTCCATAGAGCCCGGGCCACCTGCCCTTCCAAAAGCAGCAAGTTAAATAAAGGCCAGTGCCCAGCACGCAGCCCAGGTGACCCCTGTCCCATAGCACAGGCCGTGCCTGCCTTCTCTGCTCTGCTGGGACAGTCACTGCTGTTCCCGTGCAGATGGGGAAGGCGAGGGTGAGAGGTCGTGCAGCGTGGGGGTGGGGGTGTGGGCCAGCCTCCTGGGACGTGGCCACCAGGCATGATGCTTGGTTGTGGCCTCCCAAGATGTGCTGCTGGTGTGAGGCTTGCACAGGGCAGGTCTGGAATGGGATGGGCCTTTCTCCTCTGGGCGAGGTGTTGGTTCTGGAGGGAAGACCAGGCAGGGCTTCCCGTTGTGTTTCTCAAGCTGCTTTGGTGCAAGGGTCGTGGCGAGGAGGTGTCATGTTCTGGAACCTGGCTGGCTGTCAGTCCTGGGCTCAGAGCCCCTATCTCTGGCCTGGTTTTCCCCAGGCGTTTTCCCTGGGAGGAAACACCAGGGCACACCTATCAGCTCCCTCTCTTGGGCAGGGAGAGGGAGTCCCCAGCACCGTGAGGCCCCATGGTGTTACTGGCTGTCCCCTCTGCTGTACTGCGGGCTTCCTTCAAGCAGGACCCAGTATCTGACCCTGCCTGAATGTGTGTATGGAGGCCAGGCGCCTTCTGATGGCCTTGCCTGCCCCGCCCCTGCCCCCACATCACCCAGCAGCAGGATTCCGACCTGCTGTATCGTCACCCCGTGCACCTGAACTCCAGGCACGTCACATCCTCCAGCCCGGGTGAGCTGCTGGCCAGGACCCCTGCTTCTGCGGGCATCTGTCCAGCTCAGACAGGGGGTGGCATCGGTCTCAAGCAGGTCAGGTGCAGCTGCCGAGGCTGCATGTCCTTCAGGTGCATTTCCCAGGCTGACTGTCAAGCGTCCCGGGAAAGTAGCTGGCTGGCAGTGGGCGCATTGGGACAATGTCGTGCTGCCATCCATGCATCTTCATTACATGTCCTGAAATCAACAGTCAAGACTGTGGACTCTGTGGGGTGACTGCAGCTTCTAGTTGTGGTAGTTGTTCTGATGAGCAGATGAGCCACAGGCCCTCCTTTTACATTTCACATGTTGTATGAGTTACCGTCACAGGGTTTTGTTAAACATTCGGCTAAAAATACTCTGTAATTTTAGAAGGAACATGGCCTCCTCCAGGGACATCTTACCCGACCTCTTGTCACCGTACCAAATGGCGATCCGAGCAAAAAGACTGGAAGAGAGCCGAGCGGCGGCACTCCGAGAGCTCCGGGAGAAGCAGGCTCTGATGGAGCAGCAGAGACGGTGAGTCCACACAAGGCGGGGGTCCGCGCAGCCGGCCCAGTGCACCTGGAGCTGGGGCTGGGCTGTGATTTTATGGCAGCCCTTGTGGAAGTGTTTAGTTAGTTCTCCCCTCACTGATGCTGATCCAGGATCCATCTCCTCCTCACCTGGAAGCCAAGCCGCACGTGCCCCTGTGGTCTGCAGCGCCGTGCATGGGCTCGCTTGTTTGCAGCCCCGAGGCCTCCGTGTGGGGCAGGCGCAGGTGCTCATGGTCTGCAGGGCCTTGCATGCATGGGCTCCCTTGTTTGCAGCCCCGAGGCCTCCGTGGGGGGCAGGCGCAGGTGCAGTGCTTGTGGTCACCCCCTTGTGTCCGTCTTTGCCCTGGCTTCCTCACGACACCTGCCTGCTTGCTTGTCCTTTTCCCTCGTTTCTTCTTTTTCCTCAGTCCTCTCCTCCTCACTTTCCCTGGAGTGTCCCAGGCCCTGCCATAGTCGTCGGGGAGGTTCATTCTTGTGTTGCTGTGACCGCCACCAGTGCCACCACCTTGTGAGGCGTGTCGGCCAACGTGCTCAGTGTCCTCAGTGTCTTCTCTGTCCTCCAGCTCCACTGACCACCTGGCTCCACCCATCCCTGGGCCCCAGGAGTCCGGCCGGCATGGACCGCAGCCATAGCACCCCTGTGGCCCTCACTTGGTGGTTGGCTTTGGCCAGTGGGGGCTCCCAGCAGGAGGCCAAGGAGGAAGAGGAAAGCGAGGGCCTCGTCTTTACTTGCCCGGCTTCTCTCTGAGCTGCCTGGAGCTGGCCGAGTCCAGCCTCTCCCTCCTTCTGGGTTCCGGCAATCTCTCCTTCCCTGGTCTGTCCTGCGGATAGCTGCAGCCCGGCCCTGACTGGCACAGGGCTCCTGCGCTGCCCCTGTGGCTCACCTGCTCCCTCCCCAACATGAATAAACCCTCCTGAAGCCACCCCATTGTGTGTGTGCTGTTTTCTCTTGGGACCATGTGATAGGGACCGTGTTTAGCACACAGATTCTGTGATTGTCCATAGCTGTCACCTGATGTCCAGACAGACATTGTAGTTGGTTGTCTTTTTTTCAGTAAAAATATGAGTGAGGTGAAGCCCTCCGAGCTGGTCCCCTGCCCTAGGCTGTCATATTGATGGGCAGGGATGAGGCTGACTGACTGCTCTAGGGCTGTCCTAGGACATGGGAGTGTGGTCTGGGCTGCTCCAGAAAGCCCATCACTGTGGGACCAGCCACAGGCCACAGCTGCTGGGGCCCAGGGAGCACTGGGAAGGCTTTCCTTTGGTGCCCATCAGTCGCCCCACACTGTCCCTCGGGGTAGCTCTACAGAGCCGGGCCCGTCCCTCACTGCGAGGTGAGCCCCTCAGGATCGGCCCTGCCTGTCGAGCATGCCAGCTGCCCTCCCCTCTCTGTGTGCCCCAGCAGGCACCGCCCTTCCCTGCTGCAGGCGGGTCCCACTCCTGTTCGGCTCTGCCAATTTCAGGGCACCATTTTCTGAAGTGGGCGGTCCAGATACCTGCCCTGTTGACTCCTCAGGTATCACTTGCCATGCCAGGAGGCTGTCTGTGGGAGTCCCACTCACCCACACCCTCTTGGCCATGGCTGTGATGGAGGTGATTGTGGTGAGACCTTCCGCAGGCACAGCCCCTGCCTTAGGCTCTTGGGGCACCACCAACTGCGGTGGGCAGAAAGAGCACTCTCACCCCCAAACATCAGGCTCATCCCACACCTTCATGGAAGAGAAGTTCTTGGATACAAAGAGCAAGTGAACCCTCTCTTCTTTATTTTCCTGCCTGGAGCCCAGAGCCAGTGTCCTGCAGTCTCCTAGTGAGCAGCTCCACAGGCCTGTTCGGAGGGTCCAGACCCAGCAGAGCCGGCCCCTTCACATCAACCCTGTGAACAGCGTCACGCCTTTGTATGACCAGCAGACAGTGACACTAAGTGGGGGCCCTCGTCCAGGAGCGCAGCGGGGCCAGTGCCACACACGGTGCTGAGTGGGGACATGGGGGGCACCAACCTGGCTGGGGCTGGGGGTTGGGGCCTGGGACCCACTCAGGCAGGTGTTAGGACATGGCCTTACCTGAGGCAGCTGGTGAGACCACCTGTGCCCTGAGGTGGCACCGGGGGAGGACACGGCCAGGCTCTGATTCCTGGCAGCACCGACTCAGGATGGAGCCCTCAGCAGGAAGGTGGTCAGAGGTGGGCCATAGGCCGGGCGGAGCCTAGGAGGGCTGAGCTGCTGTGACCACAAGGAAGGAAGAGCAGAGGTCGGGTGGAGGTGTCGGGGAAAACCCAGGCTAGGGCCCAGGCATCCAGGATGATGATGGGAGAGACAAGAGGAGGCCAGATCTGGGGGCAGGATGGAGAGGGGGTACCAACCACAGGAGTCCTGCATGCTGGAGATGTGGCCTTCCGGGGGTAGAGCCCTGGGCCTGGGCGATGGCTCTTAGGGACCTGATTCCACCCCAGCCACACACGAGGAGCCCAGCCCAGCCACAGATGTGGGCGTTACTTGGGATGTTCACAGTCCTAGGCGACGAGCTGTGAGGAAGGAGCATGTGACTCTGGCTCAGGATTGGGGAGGCCTGAAGATGCCTGTTTTTGTCTTATTTTATTTTATTTTTATTTTTATTTTATTTTTTGAGACAGAGTCTTGCTCTGTCACCCAGGCTGGAGTGCAGTGGCGCAATCTTGGCTCACTGCAACCTCCGCCTCCCAGGTTCCAGTGATTCTCCTGTCTCAGCCTCCCGAGTAGCTGGGACTACAGGCGCCTGCTACTACACCTGGCTAATTTTTTGTATTTTTAGTAGAGATGGGGTTTCACCGTGTTAGGCAGGATGGTATCGATCTCCTGACCTTGTGATCCACCCGCCTCGGCCAGATGCCTGTTTTTAAAAGTGAAACTCAAGTGTCTGCAGGGAGAGACCTGGAGACAAGCATTCAGAGCTTCCACAGACAGACCTTACGTCGACAAGTACCTGCAGCCAGGCACCCCCACCGGTCGTGCAGTGCTTGCGGTGGCAGTCCCAGCTGGTGCCCTTACCTGAAAGGGGTCGTGATGCCTTTTCCTCGGTCACTGGGTGGGGCTGGCCCCCAGCGTCACTCAGTGCTGGCAGCACCAACACACAGAGCTTCGGGATAGAACCCGGCATTCCCGGCTCTGCCCAGACGTGCTGGGAGGAAGAGGCTGTGGTTCAGACTCCCACCCAGGGCATGCACACCCCCAGCCTGTGCTCCCTGGAGACAGGTGCACCACAAGCTGTAAAATGACAGAGAAATCCTGTAGCCTTGGCTCAAAGCTGCCTGTAACTTATGACATTAACCTTCCCTTTCTCCAGAGAGAAAAGGGCACTGCAGGAGTGGAGAGAGCGAGCCCAGAGGATGAGGAAGAGGAAGGAAGAGCTCAGCAAACTCCTGCCTCCGCGGAGGAGCATGGTACGGCAGGTGTGGGCGGCGACCGGACACTAGTCCAATCCCGGGGGTGGGTGGGTGCTCACACGCATCCCTGTCTGTGGAGGATGAGCCCAGACCTGGGGAGGAAGCTGCTTGTGCAGGCTGCTGGCTGGTGGGGCTGGGTTGGAGTGCAGCATCCAGAACCATTGCTCACTGCCCAGCCGGAGGGGACAGCTTCCTGCCCCAGCCTTGAGGGCTTGCCTCTCGGCTCACTGACTTTTGGCTCTTGTCTGAGGAATTAGAAGCTCAGAGGGAAGGGGGAAGAGGAGATGGGGGAAAAGATTCAAAAGATAAAAAGCAGCTGAGGTTGAGGTGGGCCCTACAGAGGTCTTTCTGGGCTCCTCACCCTTGGTCTCTGGACCTCGGGGCAGGCAGTTTCCCTAGAAGCCAAGATTGCCAGCTCTCCTAAGCTATGGGACATGGGATATCCCCAGACTGTATGGGGTCTTAGTCCAGCCGGGCACAGGACAGTGGGCACAGGGCAGTGGGCACAGAGCTGCAGGCATGGGCCATGGGCACAGAGTAGTGGGAGCTGGTGGCTCCTCCCTCCAGAATGCACCTGGCTTGCTTCTCTGTCCTGTGAGCGTAGTTAGGCAAATGTGCCTTTGAATTTGGTCACAGATGTTTCTTTGGTTCTTTCTTTTAAGAAATGCTCCCTGTGTGTTACTTTGAAAGGCCAGGGGTTGCCTCTGCAGCCCCCTTAGCTGGGGTGAGGCCCCCGAAGGCTTCACCCCACAGCAGAGCGCGTGGTCATGTGGGCCTGCAGGCGTGGACTGCTGGGACAGTTCAGGACTGTTTCCTTTTTTTAACTTTGTGTTGAACTAGTTTTTGACTTACAGGAAAGTTGCAAAAATAGTGTTTCCATCTCCCCCCACCCAGCTTCCCTGATGGTGACATCTTACATAACCTCAGAACAAGGCTCAGAGTTAGGAATTCACGGTGTCCAACGCGGTGGATAAACCAGGACTGCACCTCCTCACCCTTCTCAGGTCCCTGGTCCCACAGGACATTCAGTCATCATCTTTGCTGTCACCTTTTTCCTAATTTCCCCAATATGTGGAAAAGTTTAAAAATACATATTTTGCCACTTCCCGGAATAAAAATACTTGCACAATTAGACATCACTAAGAATGCTTTCAGAGCTGAATTATAGCAAAACTATGGGAAACTTAAATGCCAACAGATGGAGACGGCTAAATCGTCACGTCCAGACCATGAGCTCCCTCTGTGGCCGACAGAAGGGTGGTCAGTGACCATATCCACCGGCCTGAAAGTGTCTTGAAGAATCGTTGTAAGTGAAAACAGCACAATTTGCAGGACAGTGCACAAAAACTCACTTTGGTCTGGAAGAATGTACAGCAAACCAATGGCTGCGGAGGGGCTGTGGCTCCGGGGAGGGGACTCAGAGGGGTCAGTGCTGCCACAGTGTGTGCTTCTGAGTCCTGTGAGCCCATCACAGCGAGAGTGTATGCAGTTTCTTAAAAAAGAAAAAAATAGGTTTTCTAGAAACTCACCCATCATGAGATAGAGCAGTTCAGTCAGCGAGTATCGATGGCCTGCTCTGAGCAGGGAAGGGCCAGGCACAGGCTCTGCCCGCGGGAGCGCACACCTCGTGCAGAGGCAGACCCTCAGCCGTGGCAGCAGGCAGAGCTCCGTGGTAGCTGGCTGCTGTTCTGCACCCCCCACCAGGCCCTGGGTGAGGCAGCTGAACGCACGGAGAGGCCTGCTGCTGCCCTGTGCCGCCCTCTGGGCCTGCGCTGCCCCAGGCACTGGTGAGATACTTGGTATGGCCCGGAGTGCTGTCGGCAGAGTCCAAGGGAAAATCTTTGTGCCTAAACGTTCGTGTCTAATATACAAAGAATGGCTACTAATTGATTTTAAAAATTTGAGAATCCAGTAGAAGAAATGGGCAAAAAGTATGGCAGGCAGTCCACAGAAGAGGAAATCCAAGCTACCGTAAAGACATGAAAAGATGCTCAGTCTGCGAGGAAAACGTAGGGTGGACGTGAGGTGCAGGCGCCTGTGTGGTCGGCAGGAAGGAGCCGGGGTGGAGCAACGTGGGAAGGAGCCGGGGTGGTGGCGCAGCATGGGAAGGAGCCGGGGTGGTGGAGCAGCGTGGGAGGGAGGGGGGAGTGGAGCAGCGTGGGAGGGAGGGGGGTGGAGCAGCGTGGGAGGGAGGGGGGGTGGAGCAGCGTGGGAGGGAGCGGGAGGGGGGGTGGAGCAGCGTGGGAGGGAGCCGGGGAGGTGGAGCAGTGTGGCAGGGAGCGGGGGGGGGGGTGGAGCAGCGTGGGAGGGAGCGGGGGCGGGGTGGAGCAGCGTGGGCGGGAGCCGGGGGATGGAGCAGCGTGGGAAGGAGCCCGGGTGGTGGAGCGTGGGAAGGAGCCGGGGTGGTGGAGCAGCGTGGGAAGGAGCCGGGGTGGTGGAGCAGCGTGGGAAGGAGCCGGGGTGGTGGAGCAGCCGTGGGAAGGAGCCGGGGTGGTGGAGCAGCGTGGGAAGGAGCCGGGGTGGTGGAGCAGCCGTGGGAAGGAGCCGGGGTGGTGGAGCAGCCGTGGGAAGGAGCCGGGGTGGTGGAGCAGTGTGGGAAGGAGCCGGGGTGGTGGAGCGTTGGATAGGGCATGGAGGCTGCTGCCACCAGCTGCTCGGAATGCATCTTTTCAAGTTAAGAAAGTGTTCTTCTTTGAACACATTTAGAAGTCCATGTTTTAGAAATAAAAGCAATAATATAAGCATGTATATACACAGATGTGTATCTGTGTATTTCAGTATTGTTGGAGAGACCAGCATAAATAAATAAAACTCCGATTTCCATGTCCGTAACAGGGAAGTGGTTCCATGCATCGGCCCGGGGAGCGCGAGCTCCCAAGCTCCGGCCTCCCGGCTCCCTGCAGCTGGGCAGGAGGACACAAGAGGGCGCCACAGCCCCAGGCGGCCGCTGCTGGGTGGATCCCATTGGCCAGTGGCACCCACGGGCTGGGCTGGGCCGGGTGGGCCTGGGGAATCATGGCCACTGGCTTTGCAGCCTGGTCCTGGGGTGTGCCCCCCTGCCCTGCATGTGCTTTTGCCAATCCGTCACTGTGAGGTCACACCCCGAGTACATTCGATGGGGTGGGAGCCTTGAGGCTGCAGCTGAAGAAAGGGCTGCAGAGCTAAAGCCTGTGGCTGGGTAAAGCCTGGGGCATCACCTGCTTTGTGAAAAGCACTTCTCTTCATGTCGGTCTGAAACCAGCCATGACTCGAGCCCATATTTTGGGCTTCAGATCAATTGCATGTTTGACACTCGACAGATAAACCCTGGCGCAAAGCCCATTGCATGCCACCAAAGCGGCAGCCTGTTGTAGACTTCGCCTGTGTGTTCATGTTTATATTTGCTTCTTTGCTTGCTCACTCGAGATCTGGATGTTCGAAAAAGTCTTCCTTCTCTATACTTTAGAGTGGGAGTAAAGTGCGGATGGGTGGGCTTCCCTCCAAATACATACTTTTAATGTCTTTTAAAATAAAATTAAATGTCTGATTTTAAAAGAAAAAAACACCCACTGAATTTAGCATTTATTTATTTATTTATTTATTTTTGAGACAGGCTGGAGTGCAGTGGCGCAATCTTGGCTTACTGCAACCTCTGCCTCCCAGGTTCAAGCGATTTTCCTGCCCCAACCTCCTGAGTAGCTAGGACTACAGGCGTGCACCACCACATCTGGCTAATATTTTGTGTTTTTAGTAGAGGCGGGGTTTCACCATGTTGGCCAGGCTGGTTTTGAACTCCTGACCTCAAGCAGTCCGCCCACCCCAGCCTCCCAAAGTGCTGGCATTACAGGCGTGAGCCACTGTGCCCGGCCAGGATTTAGCATTTGTTCTTTTCTTTCTGTTGGAAGAATCTTTGGGAGAATCCTGATCACCTGAAAGTGTCCCAGCTCTCAGTCAGCCAAGAGTTTCCTCTGCTGTGTCTGCAGCCTGTGCCTTGCTTTATGGTGGGGTGGGAGGGATAGGGAAAGGTTGGTGGGTGGTCCCTGGTCCTCCCTGCCTCCCATCTTTCCACCCTTTCTGGTTGCCAAATACTTTTTAAGTGTCAGGCATGTACTAGGGTTAAGCTAATGGCCAGACAAGGGCCCAGGCCTGGAAATTCATTTAGAGGAGAGAACGGCAGAAGAGTTCCAGACATCATCTCGGTAAATGCTAAACGGATCCTACAAGTCTCCACATTGCAGTAGCCCCTGGTTGGAAGTTCTTCTCTCCCACCCTGTTGCCAGGGTTCCCTCCTACCTGTTTTTGTCATCCTACAGTTTCTGACAGTCCCAGGGAACACAACAGACACACACGTGCACACTGCACACTGCAGGCACCCACACAGGCCCAAAGCTCCCTGAGGTCCAGAGGGGTCAGCATGGCTCTCAGGTGTGTCCACTGGAGGCAGCAGCGAGCAGCATTGGTCACACCGCCCTTGGGGTCCTGACCTCCTGCCTAGGGTGCACATCACAGCGAGTGTCGGGTCCCCCCAGGCTTCCCAGGCTCTGGCACTGAAGCTGGAGAAACAGATCTGGGGCCCCTGTGGAGAGGGGCCATCTCAGGACGCCTGTAGGAAGCCAGCCACTGCAGCAAACCTGGCGTGGGGGGCAAAAGGGCATGCAGGGCAGCCTTCTGAGCAACCCCAGGTTCCCCTCATTCTGCATCTTTGCCTCCTACCCCAGCCTTTGCTGTCAGGGAGGCCCCAAAAAGATGTCCAAACCGAGATCCCAGCAGGGCACGAGAGCTAGCCAAGACCTGGGGGGATGACCGCGTTACACAGACACCATTACCCGGGGCGACCTCGGACCCACCTCTTCATGACGAGGAGCGAGTCTAACACACCTGGCAGGTTAGCTTTGTGGGAAAACAGCATTTACTGGGATTCCAGAAATGATCTCGTTGCATTTTCCTAGGTGGCATCAAAGATTTCCTCTGCCACAGATCTGATAGATAACGGGAAAGTGCTACTGAATCCACTTAGAAAAATGAAACCAAGCAAAAAGAAATCGCCACGAGCAAGTCAAGAAATGAGGTTGGTAACTGCGACAGGGGCTCAGGCCTTCCAGGGCTCAGCCAGTCACCCACGGGCAGGTGCTGCTGTTGTTTATTTCAGGAGCCCTGAACCTCCAGGCTGTGGTGGGCTCCAGGCTGTGGTGGGCTCCAGGGAGAGCCAGGTAAGCTTGGAAGATGGGGTCCTTGCCCTCAGGGAACTGCCGTCGCCCAGCCATGGTTCCTGTAGGTCACCAGGATACAGAGTGCTGCCGAGCCCTCTGTAGTGGGTGCTGCTGTGGGCACTAAGGGGAAACGCAATCCGAGACCCACCCGCTGCAGTCCCTCCCATGCCCTCCCCACCGCACCCCCTCTGCCTCCCTCGGTCTTCTCATGCTGAGTTCTGATCTTACTCCTTCCCACCCCAGCTTCCTTAGACCTGACCCTCAGGGCCGCTCAGCCCTTCCCCTCATGGGGTGTTGGGTGAGGTGGCGAGGCCAGGCGTTGACCCAGGTGAAGGGGACCCAGGCAAGGTAGCCACCATGCGGTGGAGGAAACAGCCAGAATCGAGAAGCTGTGTTGGGAAGCACTTGAGACATTTTGATTTTGAGTCCCTGGCCAGGGGATGGCCAGGCTGCTGGGCAGGTTGTCGTCCCCGGGAGAGGCAGGCAACCACAGCCCCATCAGGCATCGCTGGTGGGCCACATAGGGGCCTGGAGTTCAGGAGAGCGGGGAGGGATATTTGGGAAGCCTGATGCTCACCTGGAACCAATGTGAGGGGAAGGGTAGGGGCTCAGAGACTTGCGCTTGGCAGCGGGGAATAGGGATGGATGGAGCAAATGGGGCTGAGGAGCACTGAGTGGCTCGACAAGTTCACGGGGCAGGACACAGTCCGCAGCGACTGCTGGACAGAGCAGAGTCAGGGCACAAGGCAAGGACAGAAGCTGGAGACTGGTCCCTGGGTGGGTCCCTGTCTGGGCCTTGAGGGGAGGGGAGGGGCTTCGCTGGGAGGGTGACAGCAGCGGCTCAGAGTTCCCAGGGGCTCACCCCTCTCACCTCACAGCAGCTCGGGGGTCCGGGGTTCACCCCTCTCACCTCACAGCAGCATTCCTTTCATTTTCCACGGTCACAGCTTCTATAGCTGGGTTAGTGGCTGCGTCTTGGGGATGATCACTGGGCTCCCTAGTTGTCTGCACATCCTCTGAGCCGTGCATGAGGACCAAGCTGACACGGAACCTCAGTGTGGACACGCCTTCTTGTCCAGGCATTTCATGCTGACTCTTCAGTTGGGCCCCTGCCTCACACCTCCCAGGCATGCTGGGAAGCTGAGGGTGGCCTCAGGGAGACCACTGGAGACCCTGGGGCATGAGCACTGCTCTCCGGTGTCCCCATACTTTCCTGGCCGCTCTCTTCTGTCCTGCACCAGGCTCGCTGTGGCTCTCACTGAAGGCGCCTCAGTGGACTCAGAGGCCAGAGCAGAAGAGACTGTGGGGCCTGAGCTTGGAAGGGAAGGCCCCGGGCCTGGCCCCTGGCCCTGCTGCTGCTCAGCCTCCGTCTGCCAGGGGGCTCCCTACTCAGTTTACCATACCCTGGATCCCGGCTGTGGTGTAACAAGCCTGGAGGAAGGGCGAGGTGGGATGAGATGTGGGTGACAGAGGGCATGTTCTGTTCCTGCAGAATTTGTTCCTCTTGGAGACTGAGAGTATTTGGGGAAAATCTGCACGGCCAACTAGGTTGGATTAACTCCCCAGCCTTGTGAAAATGGCTTAGACTAAAACCATTTCGTCTCAAACATTTGAATGTTCTCTTATACCCTCCAAGGAGTTTACCTGCCATCTTTGGCCTTTAAAAAGCCCACAGCAGACCACAGTGGCCCGCTAACCCCCCATCACCCTGGGGCCCAGTGAGAGCTGGAGTCTGACACACTGACACAGAGCGTGCCCTGACCTGGGGGCTCTGTTCTGTAGGACTCCAGAGGGCGTCATGCTGTCTTTTCCATAGTTATTCTGAAAAACAAAGCAAAACCAGCACAAACCCTGCTGCTGGGAGAGGGTCTTCAAGGAGGCCCAGTGAGAGTGTGTGCCATTGTATTCACAGCAGTACGTGCACCCGCACCCGCACCCACACCCACACCACACCCACACTTGCATCTACCTCCACGCCCACACTTACATCCATGCCCACACCCTGGGGCCCCACACTCATGCAGACTGGAGTGGACCTCGCCACCCCACAGCTCACCTGCAGCAGATCCCTGGCTCTTTCTACCACCCTGAGTCATTGTCTTTAAAATTAAAGGAACCCCAAGCCCCTGAGCCCCAATAGTAACAGAGAAAACATGTTTAAAATCATAACTGAATACACTTTTCTGTTCATCTATTTAAGGATTTAGGAAAACCGTGTATTCCATGTGGGAACAAAAACCTGCTTTTCCCTTCATGTGACGCAGTGTGCAGTATCCTAAATGTGTCATATCTTAAATCAATGTGAGGTTTTTAAATAAGAATAGTGTGTGTTCTGGCAGCTTCTGAACTACTGAAGAAGGGATGGGAGAGGCAGCCCAGGCCCCAGGCGTGAGTCTGGAGGAGAGTGGGTGCCAGGGAGGCCCAGGGTAGCTCCACAGTAACTGGCCCTGCTGTGCGGGAGCCTCAGGACCGCTGTTTGGTCTGGGAAGAAAGGAACACGCTTTCTCCCTGGTTATGGTGGGAGTTGCTAGGATGAAAGTAAATGTGTCAAGTCATTTCCCTCATTGCCCTTTGTTTCTCAGTACCCTCCAGGAGGGAGATTTAGAAGAGAAGATAAAACAGCACATCCACCAAATGCATGAGCGAAGATTCCATGGCCCAGCCCCGCTGGAGGAGATGAGGAAGGCTGCCGAGGATCTGGAAATTGTAAGGATTTCTTGGTTCTGTTTAAAAATTGTGGGTTTTTTTGTTTTGTTTTGTTTTGTTTTTTATTTTTTTGAGATGGAGTCTTGTTCTGTCACCCAGGCTGGAGTTCGGTGGCACAATCTCAGCTCACTGCAGCCTCCGCCTCCCAGGTTCAAGAGATTCTCCTGCCTCAGCCTCCTGAGTAGCTGGGATTACAAGTGTATGTACGCCACCACACCAGGCTAATTTTTGTATTTTTAATAGAGATGGGGCTTTGCTATGGTGGCCAGCCTTGTCTCATACTCCTGGCCTCAAGTGATCCACCTGCCTTGGCCTCCCAAAGTGCTGGGCCACTGTGCCCAGCCTAAAACATTGTTTTGTTAAAAATGAAGGGAACTCATTGTGCCTCTTCAGAGCATGCGCTCTCTAAAACCATGGGACTATGTGGAATGTGTCTTATCAGGGTATGAAAATTCCCAGAATTACAGTTGGTTACGTGAGAAGGAAAACATTTCAGCTGAGAGGCTGAGCCCTCAAATGTGCCAGGCCACATGGCAGACGGACCTTGGCATCTCAGCACTGGGCATCTGATGACAGGAGTGGCGGCCTGCTAACAGGGACCAGGAACCCGTCCTCTGCACATGTCTGTGGGGTCCTTGCTGGAGGCTTTGCACCCAGCTGAACCAGGCTCTGGGCCCAGGGCTGGGCCATGAGGGGTGCCACTGCAGAGAGGGGCCTGGCTGAGGCCACCTGGACCATGGCTGACACGCTCAGTGTCTATGTCGGGAGGCCAATATTCATGGGGATCCAAGGCCTCCTGACCAGGAGCCTGCTGACCAGAACTGCTCACAGAAGTGTCTCCTGTATGTTTAGAATGTTAACATCCTCTCAGCCACTGTCAATGGTGTTTATTGACTCAGCATACGCTGAGGCCCACTTCCTGGTACTTGGAGTGTCCTGGGCCATAGGAGACACACAGGAATGAAGGAAAGTGCTTTGCTGCCCGAATTGCTGCATGGCCAGCCCAGCCAGCTATAGAAGGACACAGCTGCCCTCCCTGGCAGTGAACCTGGATACCCGTGTCCCCACCCTTCTTACAGCCATAAGAACACTGGCCTGTCTTCTCGGGCTACCCAAGGCCCCTGGCTGGTGGCGTCTTTCAGGTCAGTGTACCATGCCCGAACACAGGTCAGGCTGGTGCGGGCTGCATCCGGGCTGCCCCCAGAGCAAGCAGCACTGTCACAGGGGAGGAAGCAGCCCTGGCCTTCCTGTCCCCACACCCCATCTGCAGGCTCCATTCCCATCATTTCCACTGTTGCCCTCTCTCCTAGAGCCGGAGATGGGAGAAACGAGGTGTGAGGGCAGGATGTGGAGCCACTTCGTGGAGACCCCACCCAGCCTGACCCGGACCCCTCTTCTGAGACTCTCTTCCTCTCAGCCCAGGGAGTTCGTATCTGCCTTTAGATAAACTCTTATTCTCTCTGAATCTGTCGTTTATGAGTATGACCTTGTCCTTGGACACCCAAACCTTGCCTCTTAGGGCTTCAGAACATCTGTGTCTCAACCCATCACTTCACGTTATGGACACAAAAGTCGATTTGGTATTATGAACAACTCTAGCCACAGATTTGTTACATTTAGTGAAATAGATGAATCCCTTGAAAGACAACGTCTGCCAAAACTTACAGAAGAAATAAACAATTTGAATATGCTTGTATCATTTACAGGAATTTAATCAATAATTAATTACCTTCCAAAACAGAAATCACAGGCCCAGATGGGTTCACTGGTGAATTCTATCAGACATTTAAGGTTTAAGGAAGAAACTATACCAATTCTGTATAATCTCTTCCAGAAGATAGAAACAGAGAGAAAACATTTTAACTCATTCTCTGAGGCCAGCATTACTCTAATACCAAAACCATACAAAGATATTACAAGAAAGGAAAACTATAGACCAGTATCGCTCATGAACATAGATGCAAAAATTATCAACATTCAGAAATCAAATCCAGCGATATATAAAAGCAATCACACACCCTAGTTCAACATTCAAAAATCAGTTAATGCAATTCATCACATCAGTAAGCTAAACAAGAAAAATCAGGTGGTTTTATCAATAGATGCAGAAAAAGCATCTGACAAAATATAACACCTATCATGATGAAAACTCTCAGCAAACTAGGATAAGCTGGGAACTTCCTTGTTCTTGTTAAAGAACATCCAGAAAAGACCCACAGCTAACATCATTATTAATGGCGAGAAACTAGAAACTTTTCCACTAAGATCAGGAGCAAGGCAAATGTATTCCCTCTCACTACTGCTTTTCAGTCTCATGCTGGAATTCTTAGCTAGTTCAAGAAGACAAGGCCGGGTGCGGTGGCTAAGCCTGTAATCTCAGCACTTTGGGAGGCCGAGACGGGTGGATCACGAGGTCAGGAGATCGAGACCATCCTGGCTAACACGGTGAAACCCCGTCTCTACTAAAAAATACAAAAAACTAGCCGAGCAAGGTGGCGGGCGCCTGTAGTCCCAGCTACTCAAGAGGCTGAGGCAGGAGAATGGCATAAACCCGGGAAGCAGAGCTTGCAGTGAGCTGAGATCCGGCCACTGCACTCCAGCCTGGGCGACAGAGTGAGACTCCATCTCAAAAAAAAAAAAAAAAAAGGACAAGGTATACAGACTGGGAAACAAGAAATAAAACTGTCTTTGTTCTCAGATGACATGATTATATATGGAGGAAATCCCAAAGAATTGACAAAAATTTCCTGGAACTAATAAGTGATTATAGAAAAGGTTACAGGATACAAGGTTAATATACATAAGTCAGTCACCTTCCTATGAACCAGCAATTAACAAGTGGAATTTAAGATTAAAAATGTAACATTTAAATTAGCACCAAAAAAAGGTACTAAGTAAAAAAATCTAACAAAATGTATACAAAATCTATATGAGGAAAAGTACAAAACATTAATGAAATAAATAACTAAATAAATGGACAGATAGTCCATGTTCATGGACAGGAAGACTCAGTATTGTTGGTAGTCAGTTCTTCCCAACTTTAGGTTTCATATGCATTCCCAATCATCATCTCAGCAAATTGTTTTGTGGATATTGACAAACTGTTTCTAAAGCATAGATGGAGAGGATGAGACGTAGAATATCCAACACAGTACTGATGGAAAAGCAAGTCAGAGGACTGACACCCTCCAACTTGAAGACTCTAGAGCTACAATAGCAGTGTGATATTGTCCAAAGAATAGACAAATAGAATAGAGAGCCCCAAAATAGACCCACACAAATATAGTTAACTGATTTGACAGAGGAACAAAAGCAACTCAGTGGAGAAAGCATAGTCTTCAACAGATGGTACTGGAACAACTGCCAAAAACAAAAAAGAATCTAGACATAGACCTCACACCCTTCACAAAAATTAATTCAAAATGGATCATAGACCTAAACGTAAAATGTGTTACTGTACAACTTTTACAAGATAACATAGGAGAAAACCTAAGTGACCTTGGGTATGGTGATGATGTTTAAATACAACACCAAAGCAAGATCCGTGACAGAAATAATTGATACGCCGGGTTTCATTAAAATCAAAAACTTCTGTTCTATGTAAGACACTGCCAAGAGGATAAGACAGGCCACAGACTGGGAGACAATATTTGGAAAAGATACACCCGATAGAGGACTGTTATCTAAAATATACCGAGAACTCTGAAAAACTCAACAAAAAGGAGCAAACAAGCCAATTAAAAAATGGGCCAAGAATCTGCAGAGACACCTCATCAAAGAAGATGCATGGATGGCAGATCAGCATGTGAAAAGAAGCTTCACATTGTGTGTCATCAGAAATGCAAGTTAAGACAAGGAGATTCACCACACAAAAAATCCAAAACACTCACCACCAAATGCTGGTGAGGATGTGGAGCAACAGGAATGCTCATTAATTGCTGGGAATATAAAATGGTACATCCACTTTGGAAGACAGTTCGACAGTTTCTTACAAAATAAATCACACTCTCATCTTACAATCCAGTAATCACACTCCTTGGTGTTTACCCAAAGGAAATGAAAACTTACATCTACACCAAAACCTGCACATAGAGATAGCAGCTTTTTTCATAATTGCCAAAACTTGGAGGCACGCAAGATGTCCTTCCGCAGGTGACTGGATAAACTGGAACATCCAGACAGCGGAACATTGCTTAGCACTGGAGGGAAACGAGCCACCAGCAATGAGAAGACACAGGGGAGCCGACACGCCAGCATGAAAAGGCCGTACGCAGATGGAGATGGTGAAGGGATCGTGGTGACCAGGTGGGGGTAGTAGGATACTGAGGGGTGAATCAGCAGAACACAAAGGGTTTTAGGGCAGTAAAACTACTCTCCGTGATGCTGTATTGTTGGATCCACGTGGTGATGCGTCTGTCTAAGCCCCACAGACTGTGCCACCCCACACGTGAGCCCGCGTGTCGACTGTGGACTCTGGGTGGTGGAAACTATGTCCATGTGCGTGCATCAGGTGTACCACTCCGGTGTGGGATGAAGGCTGCTCTAAAAAAATCAAGTCCTGGTTTTTTAAAGTCTGCTTGGAAATCTGAAACCTGAGAGCTGGCTCTTGTGTCCCCCACGGTTCTCCTGTGCTCCCCTGCCCTGGTTACACGCAGAGGAAGGGGGCCGTGAGGCAAAAGAGAATGAGCCAGAAGGACACTGTGGCAGTTGATCTCAAATGCCTACCCCAGGCCACGCCTGTCTCTTCATTGACTTTCATGCCACCTTAGGAGGAAGGCACTGCCACCCATTTCACAGGTCAGAAAATAAGACTCACAGAAGTGCCGTAACTGGCCCCACGGTGACACTGTGAATGGTGGAGCCTTCCATCCAACCTGGGTATGTCTGAATGCAAAGCCAAGGTCCAAATGCTGCACTGTCTTCTTGGGGACATGAATTGCCACAAATTCACGTTGTGCTTTAATACTTGTCTCGTGTTTTTCTGTGATTAAAAAAATTCA